AAGCCAAGCTGGGCACAGGTGGCAGGACATGGCAGTACCAGCGTTCCCAACAGACTTGTTCTGACCCGGGGAGAGGCAGTTTCTTCTCTTTGCCCTCATTTCTGTAGGGTGGGACAGCTTCTTGCAGCAGCTGGGTACCCTGAAGGGATGGGGAGAGCTTCAGCACGGGCAACTCCACTGTAATGAAGCAGGAAGAGCTCACAAGGGCCCCAGCCCATCCATTTATCAGTGATTAGAGGTGAAGCAGCATTTTTAATCAGCCTAAACTGGTGCTGTCACACCCCCAGCCTCACATGACTCCCACTTCTCCCTCCTCAGCTCCAACCCCAGCCAGAGCAGGGGCAAAACCAACCACAAAACATTTTAAAACCAGGGGCAGGGCAAGCATTGGTGAGAAGCAGAGCACTCAGGAGCAGCACCTCATGCAAAAAAAAAATTACATTTCAAGTTGTTTACCATAAACCCACCAAACAAAACCCAGGCACTGAGCCACAGCACAGCTGAGGACCTTTTTGGGTGAAGTGGGCAGTGTTTTAACATTTCAGTAATTACAGCATTTTCCCAGCCAACCCAAGGGGCTGAAGACACTGCCCAGCACCACAGAAGGCAGCAAGGCAACACACAGGGAGCAGCACCAGCAGCACCCAGCACTGGCCAGTCCCAGCGAAGCTTCCAAGGTCAGAGAGCAAAGAGCTCCATCTAAAAGCAGCAGATAAACACAGAGCAAAGCCCAAAGTTTGCTCAGTCCTCTCTGGGGCAGTAGGACATAGGGCAGTAGCTGTATTTTCATTTCTAACAGAGTGCTCACAGAGCCTGCCCTCAGAGGTGTTGTATAAAGGCAAAGCCAGCTCTCCCCAAGCAGCTTACAGCTCTAAAGCCCCAGCCTGTGCCAGCCCCACTCCCCCAGGCTGGCACAGCCACACAGCCCGAAAATAAAATAAAATAAAATAAAATAAAATAAAATAAAATAAAATAAAATAAAATAAAATAAAATAAAATAAAAATATAATAAAAATAAAAATAATAAAATAATAAAATAAAAATTACAAATAAAATAAAATATAAATAAAAGAAAAATAAAAATAAAATAAAATAAAAATAAAATAAAAATAATAAAATAATAAAATAAAATAAAAATTAAAAATAAAATAAAATATAAATAAAATAAAAATAAAAATAAAATAAAAATAAAAATAAAAATAATAAAATAATAAAATAAAATAAAAATTAAAAATAAAATGAAATATAAATAAAAGAAAAATAAAATAAAATAAATACAATAAATAAAATAAAATTAAAATAAAATAAAAATGAAATAAAAATAAAATAAAATAAAAATTAAAATTAAAATAAAAATAATAAAATAATAAAATAAAATAAATAAAAATAAAATAAAATATAAATAAAAGAAAAATAAAATAAATACAATAAATAAAATAAAATTAAAATAAAATAAAAATGAAATAAAAATAAAATAAAAATTAAAATTAAATAAAAATAATAAAATAATAAAATAAAATAAATAAAATAAATAAAAATAAAATAAAAACAAAATAAAACCAGAAAAGTTATCCTGTCCTAATGCCCCCTCCCACAGCCAGGTTTACATGTGGCACACAAGGAGCTGCTGTCCTGGCGAGGCAGGCATGGGTGTGAAGGTGGATCCAGTGCCAAGCCCCCAGTGCCACAGATTTATGGCACAGTTGTTAAGCAAGAGAGATTTGTCCAGCAGAACCAAACCCTGGTGTGTCCCACACATCCCTGCTGTGCAGGGGAAGCCTCAGCTTTGCTTTCAGAGGCAGCACTGCCCCCCCTGAGAGTCTAACAAGCAAACACAAACGTATCCATTACAAACAGCAGCTTGCCAGTGCAAACTGAGGGCTGAGACCATCCAGCTCCTGGGCAGTGACTCTGAGCTCCTGCTCCATTATTTCCTGAAGCCAGCTTGCACAACCATTGGGGTGTTACCCCAGACACGGCCTAATTTACTTAACTGGCATCACAAGCTGGACATTGAACTTTAATTAGCTGGGAGACAGCCAGAAACATTATCCTAAATTTGCCTGGCGATAAAACAGCACAAAGGCCAGTGATTTCCCTAATAAAGTCCAAAAGTACTGGTTTTACCCCAAAACAAAGGAGCCCCCATTTATGATACCTCCAAGCAACATTGGTGTATTGGCTCCACGCTTTGTGAGACAAGTCTTCCTCCCATGACCCCTCAATGTACAATTTGGGGCTTCCCTTGGGTAAGAAAATGGATTTTTATTTAACTGCCAGAGCCCCCAGGCTCCCCCATCTCACAGACTGATCACTTTTGATGGTGTTGGCCTGGCAGGGCTGGGTCTCACACACCTGTGGCTGTGCTCTCAGGCAGGCACAGACTACTCAGAGGAACGGGGCTGCAGAACAAGCAGAACTTCCATGCGACACAAGGGAAGCCATCAGCATCTGAACCTCAAAACACTACCACAGCGAGGGGGGAGCAGGAAGGAAAAGGGATTTTTTTTTCTCCCCTAACTGCTAATATCTACACTCTTCGCAGGAACTCCTCAGCCCGATTTCAGCACTGCCATTGCGAAAGGGCTGGCACAGAAGCGATAAAGCCCTGCGTGACTGGAACCGTTGGTCGCTGAGCTCCCCAAGCAGGCTGTGCCAAACCTCGGGCAGCTCCAGCCCCAGCTGACATTCACGGGGCTGACTCAAGCCCCCGGCTGCACTGCCCTCCCTGCAGAGGACAAGGCAGAATCCCCTGGTCAGGGACTGCTGCTCTTTGCCTGGGTGCTCACAAATGGGGTGCAGCAGCAGTGCATCCTGGATTTGGAGAAAGGAGCAGCACCTGGCATTAGCCTGAACTCCCACCACAGCCCAGCAGCAGGAGGGTACACAGTGAAAATTTGGAGGTGCAAGACATTACCCCAAATTGGGCACAGACAGTGCTGAGCTGGATCAGGCATGAAGCTGCTGCTGGGGAGGGACACACTGGGGAAGGAAAAGCTGCTTTCTCCCTTCATTTCTGCTAAAGGGAGTGAAGTCTGAGGCAAAGGAGAAAGAGGCTCAGCAGGACCCATCCATGCACCCCAGGGCCCCTCTTTGCACCCAGGACTGTTCATGCTCCAAGTGTGGGGGGGTATTCTCAGTGCCCCCCACTGCGTCCATGAACCTCGGCGCTGCTCTGTGCACTGCAGGAGTCTGTGCCCATCCATGCCCTGGAAAGTTCAATACATTCCATGGCCATTCCATACACTGGGGAGTCCCGGCACTGCACAGCCTGTCCTGCATCTGGAGCTGCCTCACACAGCCCAGGGTCTGCCCATGCACTGGAAGGCTCCGTGCACCCCTATGTTTTGCGGCCACTCTGTGTTTTGTGTTCCCAGCACCCCAGAGTTGCTCTGTGCACCCCAGGGTCCACCCATGCACCAGAGATTCTGTGTACTCCACGGCCCCTCTGTGCATTGTGGGGTCCCAGCACCCTAAAACCTGTCCCTGCACCCAGAGCCACTCCATGAACCCAGGGCCATCCGTGCTCGGGGAGAGTCCGTGGCTGCTCTGTGCTTTGGGTGTCCCTGCACCCGGAGCCGCTCCATGAACGGCAGGGTCCGTCTGTGCTCGGGGAGAGTCCGTGGCTGCTCTGTGCATTTGGGTGTCCCTGCACCCCAGAATCGCTCCATGCGTCCCAAGGTCCGTCCGTGCACTGGGGACTCTGCACTCCCTGTGGCCGCTTCGTGCCTCGGGGAGTGCCGGCACCCCAGAGCCTCTCTGTGTGCTGGGAGATCCCGCAGCCTGTCCATGCACTGGGAAGCTCCGTGCACTTCACTGCCATTCCGTGTACCAGGGGGTCCCGGCACCCCAGAGCCTGTCCCTGCAATCCAGAGCCGCTCCATACGCTGCAAAAATCCGCGCACCCCGCGGCCGCTCTGTGCTTTGTGAAGTCCTGACACCCCGGAGTTGCTCCGTGCACGGGCGACCTCCGTGCAACTCACGGCCCCTTCGGGAGCACCTCAGAGCCTGTCCCCGCTTCCGGAGCCGCTCCACGAAGCCCGGGACCCGTCCGGGGATTAGGGAAAGGTCTCTGCACCCCAGAGTTGCTTCGTGCACCCCGAGCTCCGTCCGAGGATTAGGGAGAGGTCTCTGCACCCCAGAGATGCTCCGTGCACCCCGAGCTCCGTCCGGGCATTAGGCGGGAGTTTCTGCACCCCGGAGTTGCTCTGTGCATCCTGAGCTCCGTCCTGCACTGGGGGCTCCCGGTACCCCGGAGCCTGTCCCTGCACTCCGGGATCCCTCAGTGTACTGAGGGCTCCGTGCACTCCAGAGCCTCTCCATGCACTGAGAAGCTCTGTGCACCCCACGGCTGCTCAGTGCATTGAGGGGTCCCGGCACCCCATGGCTGCTCAGTGCACTGAGGGGTCCCGGCACAGCAGATCCTGTCCCGGCACCCCGGAGCCGCTCCGTGTACTGGCGGTCCCGGCAGCCCAGAGCTTGTCCCGGCACCCTGAAGCCGCTCCATGGGCACTGCATGCATTGGGGGACCCTGCAGCCACTCCGTGCTTTGGGGGTCCCTGCAGCCACTCTGTGTTCTGGGGGGTCCCTGCAGCTCGGAGCCCCTCCGTGCACTGCGGGTCCCGGAGGTTCCGCGCACTCCGCGGCCGCCCCGCGCTCCGGGCGCTCCGCACACCCCGCGGCCGCTCCGCGCCCCGGGGCTCCGAGGCCCCCGCGCCCCGCAGCACCCCGGGCTGCCTCACCTGGACGTGCTTGTCCACGGCGGCGAAGGCGGCCCGCTTCTTGGCCTCCTCTGCCATGGTGCCGCCGAGCCGCCCGCGGGAGAAGCCGCGCCGCGCCACCGCCCGCCCCGTTCGGACCCTCCCTGGCGGCCGGGCAGCCAGGGGCGTGCTCCGGAGCAGGGCGAGCCGGCCGGGGAGCCGCATGCCGGCGCGGCCCGCCCCCGGGGGGCTCTTCCTCACGGGCTGCAGGCCTGGGCCGTGCCGGCTCCTCTCCTCCTCCGCCTCCACCTCCTCCACCTCTTTCTCCTCCGCCGGGAGGCTGGGACTTGTAGTGCAGCGAGAGGCGAACTACAGCTCCCACAATGCCAGACAGTGCCGGAGCCACTTGTTGCATGGATGTGTAAGTACTGAGTACTCGCTAAGTCCCGAGAAACCATTTCCAGAGGCTGGAAAGGTTCAGGCATTTCCACAAAGAGCAGAGGGATGCGCGGTGTCCCGCCGGGAAGTGCTGGGAGAGGAGGGAGGATGGGGGAGAGCCCCTGCAGGAGGCCGGGCAGTGCACTGAGCTCAGGGGTTACTGGAACTCCGGCTGGGCTGCCCAGCTTTTAAGGAAGAGCCTTTCTTGGACTTTCACTCAAACTTTAGCACGATCTCCCTCGAAATTAGCAAGATGGACATGAAAAATGCCAGGGGTCCTCTGGGCACATGGTATCAACCAATACTTAGTCCTTACCCCACCCTGCAGGAGGGTCAGGACAAAACCCCACGGAGATCTCCTGTCCCGAAGGACACAGAGCCGTTTTTTATTTGCCATCTTTTTTCCCTCTAGCCTGGGTTGACCTTTGATTAAGTTGCTTCTGAAACATACTAGAGAGGCAGAGCAGCCTTGAAGTCTCTCTACAGCAGCATTTTCACTCCTGTGAGCCACATCAGGACCATTCACAAGCGCCTCTGTCTCTCTCCAGCTGCAATCCCACAAAGAGGGATGAGAATCGCAGGTATTTACCCCTTTACTACTCACTCCAAGGCCAGGCCACAATTCGTAGAGAATAATCTTTTTATTTGCTCAACAGAAAAGCTGCCGCTGACTTCTCTTTTTTAATTCTGTGTATGACTGGCTCGCTTTTGCTGCCAACCTCTGATTCTGCTGTGATTTTCAAGGACTAGAAACATTTCCTTTTGTTCTCCCTGGGCCTGCTCATCAGCCTTTGAACAATGGGGTGGGATTTCAACAAAGACTCTATTATCATTGCCCGGGCTTATCTCATCTCGGTGAGGCCTTACCTTTCTGTACAGAGCAGGTGACTCGATTTTAAGAGCTGCACGTGGTTCTGTGCAGTGGTTCACTGTTTTTCTGCCAACTGGCAACGAATTTTCCTGCAAGTTACCCATTTGAAAGGGTAAAAACACACATCTAGTGGGATATATATTCAGAGGGAATCAGACCCAAGCACTGTGCCCTTCCTCGATGCAAGAAGGGTAAAACTGAAGGAGCAGCTGACTGAGCTTGGGGAGACATTGCAAGAGCAGGTAGTGACAGGACAAGGGGGAATGGCTTTAAACTGAGAGGAGGTTTAGATTAAATATTAGGGGAAGAAATTTACTGTGAGGGTGATGAAGCACTGGAACGGGTTGCCCAGAGAATCTGTGGCTGCCCCAGTGTTTAAAGCCAGATTGGAAGGAGCTCTGGGCACCTTAGTGTAGTGGAAGGTGTCTGCCCACAGCAGGGGTTTGAAACGAGATGATCTTCAAGGTGTTTCCAACCCAGGCCACTCCGTGATTCCATGATGATTCTGTTCAGTATCCTAAGTATTTGACTGAAATGAAGAGCAGTCACTAGGGTTTTGTGTTGACTCAGGAACCCCATCCTGGGCTTCTCTCACATCCCACTGTTGTGGGGAGAGTCAGTGCAGAAGTGTGGGGTGATAAACCTGTTGTACCCTCAGAGCAATGGCTGATAGCTTTGGCTTGAAATACATCTTGCAGTGTCTGGGGAAACACAAACATTTCCACTTCTAGATAATGACCTTTCTGTTAGCAACTTACCTCAATCTGTTGGTGAGTTACAGCTCCAATGAAAGCAGAAAATCTTTCATTTATGCTGTGCTGAGCCTTGCCCGTGCACTAAAAATTGGTATTGGGCATTTTAGAAATGTATTTTCTGTGAATTTCAGCAACGACCAGCTCTGTTTGCAAACAGCTGCAAGTCCTTTTGTACAAGCCTGGTTTTGTCCCACGTCAAAGCTTCTCCAGGAGCCAACTCACCCTGTGTGCTTCAGTGCCAGGAGGTGTTTGAACCTGCTTTGAACAGACATTCCACCTGTCAAACAGCAACCAGGAGGTGTTAACCCTGACAAGAAGCACGCTGAGGAACTGAGGAACTGAGGAACGGAGCAGCTCAGCCCTTGCAGGCTGTCAGGGCGACTGCGTGACTCCGGGTGCCGAATTCTGCATCTGAGGCTGAAATTACACGCTAGGAAAATTACATGGTAGCTGAGATAACAGCTTGCTGTTGACAAAAAGGGAAGAGCCTGCTCTTCACTGCCTTCAGTCACCATCCACATGCAGCCTGGCTGCAGTTTATGCTGGTGCTGGCATTGCCATCACCCTGTGCTGATTCACCTTGCCATGAAGGCAAGAAAAGGCAGCTTCTTCTTGCCAGGTGAGTGAGGTTGAATTGGGTCAGCCAAACTTAGTATATCTCTCTGAAAGGGAGTTTTGTAACTGGCTTAAGCTGCCCTGGTCTAAGACAGGAAAAAAAAGGAGCATTCCCACCTTATGGTCCATCACTTGCCGAGTTTTCCTGCTGCTTCCATGTGTTGGCAGAGAGCTGCTCTTTCTGAAAGGCAAAGCAACCCAAAAAATCAAGGTCAGTTTTCCTTGACCTTTCCTGAGGAAGGCAGCAAGATTGATCAGCTGGGAGAGGGATTGATCATGTGGGACCACCTCCCATGGCAGGCTTAACCCAGCCTAAACCAGCTGGAAAAGTGCATTCTAACCTGAGTGAAATCCTGGTGAAGGCACAGCCCCCTGGGTGGCAGATGGGTTGATCCAATTAACTACTCCTCTCTCCTCATGATTAGGCATGAAACTGCTAAAATCCAAGACCCATGAAAGTAAAACTTCACCAGCACACTGGTGAAACCAAGTGGGAGATGGAGATTTCCCAGACAAACTCTCTTTCTGGTTGGCAGCAGCACTCCAAGCCTGTCACATCCCTGCAATCTGATTTTTTATCCTGCACACTCCAGTTCAGTGACATTTCCTCTGAATGACACCTGCTTGTCTCTGGTTTGATCCATCGGGTAGAGAATGACTCGGTTTTATTCTGCTTGTGAGAAGGCATCAGCAGGGGTGCCGGTACGCGAATTACAACACATGCAGATTTTGGGAGGGCAGCATTCTCCTGGAAAAGGGAGGCGCTGGGAAGGGCCCTGGGCTCAGGGCAGCCACGAGGTGGCACGCTGGGCTTTCACTGCCGCGCCTCCTCTTCCAGGAGCGAGTTATTCGGGAAAAGCAGGCAGATCTTCAGTGGAGTTATGTAAAACAGCATCCCTGCAATAACAGGCTTTGATTTCCACACAAGTGGCTAGTTAGATCCGAAGTTATTGTCATATGACTGAAATAGATCTCTTATGTCAGTCAAAACAGAATGGAGGATGTGAGTCATGCTTTGCAAAAAGCAGGAAGTTTGGTTTTGTTGGCAAAAATTTTTAATACAGAGAGAAAATTATAGAGCTGCATCGCCACGTTTGTCATAAGGATTCCAGAATAACGTTGTCCATCCCTTGGAGCAATGTTTCCAAAACAAAAACAAAAAAAAAAAGCTTTTTTGCATTCTGATGATTATTCATTATTCCTCGGTGCCACGGAATGTAGGAGGAGTCTGGAAGGAAACGTGTGCCCTGGTGAGAAGCGGCAGATCCTCCCCAAAATGAAAGGCTGCGATTGGGAACGCGAGGGAATGAGGTCATGCTGTGGCGTTTGGTGTGATAAACCTTCCTCACCCAGCACAGGTGCGAGTCTAGTCATGAATATCCCGATATTCTGGAAGTTTCTGGGGTCTGTGGTTGTCTCTGAGTCCCTCAAATAGGTGCTGGGACAAGAGATAAATTGCTGTAAAAAGCATGGCATGGAATCAGCTTTTCTTCATTGTCCAGGAATATAATGGAGTTTAAAATTTAACTAAATTTACCCCTCAATGTGACTGTTCAAAACATCACCATGCAAAAAAAAAATAAAATAATTTAAATGGAGACAGGTGCAGGGGAGGGCAAGTCAGAGCAGAGAGCCAAATGTGTAAGAGAAGAATAAAAGCCTTTGGCTTGGTTTGCCCAGAGAAACAAGGAATTTGATTGCTCTTTATAAACATTTGAACGGGTAGACACTCCAGAGAGAGGAGTTATCTAAATAAAGAAAATAGTAGCACAAGAACATATGGGTACAGTAATAAAATGTCATTTAAGTTACTAAAAATGACATGTGCCATTTGGCAGGTGGCACAGGGTAAATTCTTTTGGACTTTGTTATAATGAGGGAAGTAAAAAAAACCCAAAAAAGATCCCTGGATTGCAGTTCAGGGGTTGGCTGGGGTGCAGTGTTTGTGACCTGGGTTTGCATACACCTCGTGCTCTAAAAGAGATGTATTTCCAAATCATCAGAAAATAAAGAGTACAAGCAGGAAGAAAAAAATAGGTAGAAATCTAAAAATTACAATTATGAGCTCTTTTTAAAGAATTCATTGGGCAACCAAAGAGCCACAACTTCAAGAGAGAAAAAACATTGACAATTCTTGTTTTATTAATGGACTGGAGAGTGTGAGTAAAATTAAAAAAAGAAATAGCCAAAATGGAGAAAGCAGGAAATAAGGAAGTGTTGGTATAAATGAGAAGCTGAGTCTTTATTGGAAGTGAAGCACATCAAAGGAAATCCATAGCTGGCAAGGCTAAATCCCAGAAAATTAGAAGTGAATGGTACAGGCCCATTACTAGATGGACATGATTAAAATGTCAATAACGATGCAGAAGCGTTCATGGAACATTTATGATGTGTGTTTGTAAAGAAGCAGGAAGATCCATGTGTGAGGGTCACCTGACAGGGATGTGATTCCTTTCAGTGCATTAGTGACCAGTGGAGCTCTTGTCTTCCAGGGATAACCATGGCCCAGGAGGTTGGAAACAGCTGATGCAGACTTGTGTGTGGGCATTCCTCCTCAGTGAGCCTTGATTGACCAGGGCAATTCTAGGGGGCTGAAAAAGTGCCAGCTTGGTGCCTGTCTTCAGGAGAGGAGGCTGCATGATATGGAGGAAATGTAGATTTAATAACATCATATCTGTGGATAATATTCTGGATAAACACCAAAAATGGGTGTTGTGTCACTCACATTAGTAATGCCAGTCAGAGTCTAACAGAAATCTCATTTCATGCTTCTAAAAGACAACAAATAATTCAATTTCCTCCAAAAGGAAGGAAAGCTGAAATAAACTTTTAAAAGGATTTTTACTTAGAACTGCACAATGTTTTAATTAAACAGGGTAATAAAGCATCAGTGAAGAATGCATTAAACAGTGGTCACAGAGATTATTTTTTTATAAGTGGTTGTAAATCACTATTGAATAAGGCTATGTCTAATAGGACCCTCCAGGATCATATGTGCTGTACTGCACACATACGTAATCAATATTTTCATTAGTAATGTGGAAGTAAATACAAAATCAGCCCTAATGCAATTTGCAGATGACATCCTCATCAGTCGGGTGCTACCATCAGAATGACAAAGGACTGTTCTTTGAAATATGGTAAACTGGGTCTGGAAAAAACTGGGGAAAACTAACCCTGAAAAGGGCAATTAAATATCATATATATTGTTTATATCAAGTACACCATGAACAGAGACTCACAGAATGACTCGGGTTGGAAGGGACCTCAAAGACCAGCTCGTTCCAGCCCCTGCCATGGGCAAGGACACCTTCCACTATCCCGGGTTCCTCAGAGCCCCATCCAGCCTGGCCTGCAACACTTCCAGGGATGGGCCAATCACAATTTCCCAGGACAGATCTGTGAACACATGGAGGGAACAGGAGTTTAAGGTACCACAGGGGTTTTCTGGGGCTGCTACCACACCTGGCCAAAGTGCTGGGGTTGGGGGGCACAGAAAGCCCTCACAAACGTGGGGTCACCTAGGGTCAGCACAGGGCCCATTTCGGTACCAGGGTTAGGGTTACGTGTACCGCCCAAACAGCCGGGGTGGAACCACCGAATGACAGAATCAATTCGGCTGGACAAGACCTCTGAGCTGACCGAGTCCCCGGTCTGTCCCACGGCCCCAGGGCCCTCAGCGCCGTGTCCGCTCCGCCCTGGCCGCCCCGGGCGCTCCCTCCCTCCCGGCCCGCTTCCCGCCCCGCTTCCCGCCCGACGATTCCATTCCGCTCCGGTCTGGGGGGAGGCGCTTTCTGCACCGCTCCCCCCGCGCCGGGTGGTGCGCGCCGCTGGCCCCGCCCTGCCGGCGCCGAGGAACAGCCACGTCTCCAGCCCGGCCGAGGAAGGGGCGGGGCCGCGCCGCCCGCGCGCCAGCCGGCAGCCAATCGGCGGGCGGGCCGGTGAATCATGCGCTCGGCGATTGGCCGACGCGGCGGTAGAGGAGGGGGAGAGAGCAGCGTGGCTCCGATTGGCCCGGCGGGCTCTGTTGACAAACACCCAGCTCCTCCCCGCCTCCGGCCGCCGAATGCACCAATCAGAAGGAAGCGGCGGGCTGAGCGGCGTGGCGGCCGACCAATGGAGTGCGTGTCCGCCTCGCAGGGGCGGGTGCGCGCGGGGTGCCGGTACGTGGCGGGCGGGCGTGGCGCGGCGGGCAGGGCTGCGCGCGCGGCGGGCGCCCATTCTGTGGCGGCGACAGCGGTGACAGCGACAGCGGCGTTCATGTCCTAACGGGTGGCGGCGGCGGGCGAGCCGGGCCCCTCCATGCGGGGGCCGCGGGGCCGCAGCGCTCTGGCCGCCTTTGCGTTGCTGGTGCTGCTCGGGGTAGCGGCGGGTGGCCCGGAGCCGCCGCCGAGCGATGCCGCGGCTGTGGAGGCCGCGTTCGGGCTGGGGGCGGCCGCCGCTCCCGCCGCTCTGCCCGCTGGTTCCGCGGACGTGACAGTGGAGGACGATGAGGGCGGTGTGGCCCCTGCAGGGCCCGGAGAGCCGGACGCAGAGGGCAGCGGAGAGGCCCGGACCGGCAGCAGGTGAGCGGGGCAGGGCGGTGACTGGGTTGGGGAGCAGTGCCTGGGGCTGAAGGGGGGGTTCAGTGCCCGGTTGAGAGTGCGGGGTCGCTGTCTGAGGTGAGGGTCATGCCTGGGGCTGACTGGGGAGAGTGTCGGTGCCTGGGGTGGCTGTCGGGGACTGGGATTCCTCAGGGGGTCGGTGGCTGGCTGGGGGTCAGTGGCTGGCTGGGGGTCGGTGTGGGGCGGCTGAGGTGCGGTCAGTGCCTGGGGAGGCGGGGGAGTGTCGGGAGTCAGTGCCTGGCTCTGGTTAGGGGGAGTATCAGCGGATACAGGGATGGGGGTCAGTGTCGGGACTCTGGAAGGGTGTCTGTGACTGGGGTGGGGGTCAGTGGTCCCGGCGGGGAGGTGCTGGGGAGGGGATCGGCTCCGGTGTGGGGGTCAGCGCCTCAGGGGACAAGGGTGCCATGTCCGAGGGGACACGATTGTGTCTGGGCTGGGAATCAGCAGCTGGGGGTGTTGGGGAGGGGGCAGCGCATGGGAAAATGGCTGCAGCGTCCCGGGGGTCGTGTGTGGGGAAGGGCCCGTGCAGGAGTGGCCTTGGACGGGGATGGCGCTGGGATGGGTCGGGAGTGTTGGAGCGGGAAGAGGGGAGGAGGCAGAGTTGCGCTGTGGGGTTATCGCAGATGGAACGGTGCTTGGGAAAGCGGTGAAATGCGGGTGTCGCAGGCTGGTGCGTGGGGCTGGACTGTGGGACACGCAGGGAAGCGTCCCCGGGCCGGAGAAGGGCTGGCAGGGCTGAGTCCCGTGCTGGGGCTGCAGGAGCGCTGCAGGGATGGATGGACAGGCCGGACCGACGGGGAGGCAGTGACAATGAGGAGAAGGAACTTCGGGACCTCACCAGCGCTGAGGTGCTCGTTCTTTACGCCGTTGTTAGCAAGGAGAAAGGGTGTCTTAGTTCTTAGACAAACAAGCTGCCGGATGTCACGCTATGTGACATCTGGCCCGCCTGCTTACCCTGGTATTACCACGTTCGATCCTTCCCTTGCCTTGCTCCCATTCTGTGCCTGCGGGAAGGAGACCCTAAAGCATCTGCAGTGTAAACTCTTCCCAATGCCCGCAGCTCGCAGCTGTTCAGAGCACGCTGTCCTTTTCTGTCATCGTTTTGTTTTAAAGAAAACGCGGTTCCCCCTGAGTACTTAATTGTCTGTTCAGCGCAGCCACTGGGGTGTGCCTGAGGGGAAGCCAAACATGCCAGGCAAATTGATGAACAAGTTTCAGAATGTAAGAAAGGGAAATAAAATTCTTAATAACTGCGTGTGGCAAGAAGCTCCGGAAAAAAGGAAGACTCAGATGAATGACTCAAGTGCAGAAATGTTAGTGAGCTGATTCCAGTCTGTTTCTGAATTGGCTGTTAACGAAGAGATGACAAGCCACAGCCAGAGTTTAAAGGAAGAACAGCATGACTAAATGCCTGCTGTATTTGAAAACATGAAAATGAATAGCCCAAAGCTTGTTCTTAGTATGGCCAAGCATTCACTTCAAACAAGAAACCGGCTGAAAACACCCTGTTTTCTTGCAGGACAGTCTCACCAGTTAGCAACAGGATCATTGTTTTATGTAGCAGGTGATCAAAATACCACCTGCTTTATTGCAATTCTGCTGTATTCAGTTTTTGATAGGACCCTTGTTTGTTTAGCCTAGGAAAATTTTAAAAATATATTTTCTGTTTGTCTTCTCGTGCTAAGTAGAATACACTAAAGATGTTCAATGTAGTAAATTAAGCCTGAGATTAAATGTAGCTGCTCTGTAATTGATTAGCATGTAGGAACAGATTTGCTGTCATCAAATAAAAATAGAATGGCTGCCTGGCCATAGTGTTTGTGTGCATTTCTTTTTTAATCTGTGTTTCTGAGATTTCCACTCATCTCAGCTAATTGTTCTTCAGCAATACACAGGCAATATAGAGGTCAATATAATCTGGAAAAAAAAAAGAACAAAATCAAAACCCCAACTGTCTCTGCTGTGGGCAGATGAATGTCATCATCTTGGTTTGAAGATTTTTGTTTTTCTGAAAGAAACCAGGAGGATTAGTGATTTACTGTGCTCTTTACATACAGACAAGCAGAGTTTGCTTTGGCATAGCTGCTCAGAGTGCAGGTTTAACATATTTGCCATGTCCCAATGGACTTTTGAGGGTTTGATGATCCTTCTAAACTGAAACAGGAACAGTGGTAAATGCACCACGATGACCATGAGTTCTACCTTGTTTTTCTAACAAAAACAACTGACTTGAATAAATGCAAAGTTTGGTGCCATGAAAGGGTGTGGGTGAACTGAAGAATTGTTCCTCTGTCCTGTTCACAACTCCCCTTGCTATCCTGGCCCTTTTGTTGGTGAGTAAATCCCACCTTCACTTCTTTAAGGTAGAGCAGCGCTGTGCTCAGGCCTCCAGATCTCCCAGAGTGGGCTGTGACCACTGTGGGCACTCACAAAGGTTCCTTTTGTCAGTGTCTGTGGAAGTTTGCAGTAAATATTTTGCATCATTTAAAGGGGGGGGATGACATTATCACTGTCCTGGAATAGCAAGTTCCTGTCTGTGAGCAAAAGAGGATAGGAAGTGGTAAGAAAACATTTTCATTCAGCCACAGAGCTGGTTTTGGATAGTCCAGATGTGCTTTCATAGTGACAAAGTGCTCATAAAACCTCACTGCACAGCACTGGCTTGTTCCCTGCCAGCTGCTCTGATTTCTGTATCTCTGCATGCTGCAGGAACTGGCCCCTTGCTTTAGTCCTGCTGTTGGCCATCTGTAAGGGCCCACAAGGATTTTCTTTTTCTCCATCACAAAACATTCTGCACCAACAGCTCAAGGCAAGGGGAAGTGCAGGGTTTCATTTTACAGATGTTCATTTTTCAGGTGAGGGATCCCAGGATTTAAGTGACTGCCTCATTTTGAGTAATTTCTTTTTGTATCTTTTTTGTTCTGGTCCAGCCTTGTGGAGATCATTGAAATATAATTTTGTGGTATTGGTCATAGGTTTGTTTTTTTCCTTTCTTTAGTATCCCTGTGATGTGATTCACTCCCTGATATAGTCTTAGTGTCAACAAGGATTGACACAGCCTTGATGCTGTCTGTCTCTATGCTTTGTGTTAACATTGTGATTTTTGACCTTAAGCTGGGTAATCTTTTGAGTTTTCCCTTCTCAGAAGGGAAGGGTTAGGGTTAGGTAGTGTTCTGAGAAAAGCTGTGTGTTCTAGATGATGGCATCTTTGGTCTTTCAGCTTCACCCCAGTCAGGAAGTGATGTAAATAAAGCCAGCAATAAGTTC